CACACAGACAACCTCTCGTCAATATGCGTTTTTCGCATTGCATTACTGCAAAAAACGCATAAAAATCAGAAAACTGAACTGGTGAGTCTTTTTGGTCTCATTTCGACACTCATCTGAGCAATAAATGAATAAAGTTGGGTCCTACTTAAAGTTTATTGAATAAAACCACTGTTACGATTACGAAAATACACCATAGACATTTTTTTTTTTCATTAGTCAGTGCGAAACGATTTCAGGAACACTGGCACTCAAGACCAAGTGCGGGCTTTTGAACAGGCGAGATAGTAGCTAGTGCACAGTTTTTGGAGCTTACACAGACATTTCCGCAAATTTTGTCTCATTAGGAATTTCACCCGATTCAATATTTCAATCGATTGAACCTTGGCTTTTCACAAACTGCATTAGTTACATTTGTGACGAGCACATGCCTTCCTCCCAAAAAAGCTAAAAAATCGTACATCTTAATCTCTTTATTTTCCAGTACTTCCCTATCGGGTATTGGTCATTTCTGGCTATTCCTTTCAATTTCATAACTACCACTCTTTTACCACAATTTTTTCACAACCAGAGTTTGCAAAAGAATGTTAGCTCAGTGCAACCACATAATGATCGTAGTGATGCCTGTAATCACTGCACGATATTTTATCGTAATATAATTCGGCTACTTTTCCACACACTTTCTTCTGTTGCTGCTCAGTGTTTCACAGATTAAGATTGTTATTTTCAGTGGTAGCTATTTATGGATAAGAGGTATCTTTCCAGTAACATTATGATATACTTGATTTACCACTGAGCTACCTTAAATAACGGTTAGCTGCTCTAAAAAGAGATCTCTTACTATATTCAGATGTTAACACATCATCATAGAGCTCAGCTTCAGGACAGGTTATGCAGGTGCTAACTTAATCAAGTTCTAGATTGGGCCGCATGAAACCGGACAAATTATAAACCCGCAATAGGGAAGACACGCCTCCTGGCGTGGTATGTGGCGTTAACATCTTCTAATTTAGCGATTTTTTTGCGTAATTTCGGACGGATTAGTAGGAAAACCATTGAGTCCATGATTCGTTTAGACAATAAATCCGCACTGGTGTGCTTCAGCTCGGTGGAGGATTCTGTCGGCTTACTTACAGTTCGCTTCCAAATTCGAATAATCCCGTGCCACATGGCTCCAACAGCCACTCACTCATACGTATTACCTAGAAGACTATCCCAAAAAATTATATGTTCTGGCTTTCAGCAAGAGAATTTTCGTTACTTGGGACACATAGCCTTGCACGAAAAGTGAACTGAAGCATAGGGAAGAGAGCAGGAGCTACTGAAACAGATTTCTGCATAAATACTTTTGCGCCCTGACATCATTTTGAAATGTAATAAGTCCCCAAACGAACCAGATGATAACAAAGATTTTTTCGTTGAACATATTGATCATTAGGACGCACTGAACCGAATATCGATGTATGTTTGCCAGACGTCGCACTTTGAAATCGCACATTGTTACTCGCGGAAATACACCAGACTCGAGCCATTCGTGGCCATTCCACAAATCGAGCAGCGTCTGAATAACACATTTACAAGTATAACACAAACACTAATGCCCATGCCCATGCGCCCCGGACGTTTATTTTGAAGCTCATAATATTAGGATTATACAAGCCATTGCCAACACCCTACTTAACTTGGCCAATTCTCATGATCGCAGCACCTCTGCCTGGTCATCGCCCAGTAGTCAAAATTGCTAGTCGCTTGTACGAATTTAAAATGCCGCCCTTTTAGATTTAATATTACCTAGATACTAACCTCTTCTTACACCTAAGTGCTGCGGAACATTTTCAACTCATTATTGCTTGAAAATTACGCACCAGATCGCCAAAAAAAACTCTTAGCGAGTTGGGAACAACAGCAGTACTGATATCTAAGACGCATGGACAGTCAAATTTTTGGTAACTGCTTGTATACGACAAGGCATACGCCTCATTTTGCCCAGTTAAGCTTGGGACCATTATCGTTTCGGGGAATTATCAGAAGCGAATTTAACAAAATTTGATATTAAACTTCTGCTTCGGCTAGATCTCAACAAAACCCATGCTGTCTAAGCCCATTGCTACGGTATGTGATGGAAAGGGCAATGAGCATGAAGAGGTCTTATGCTGAAATCTCATCGTCGAGCCTACGTGTACGGTCATAGGCGGTTGCAAAGCAAGACATAGACAAAGGAAAACTGGGAACGCACGCTGGCAAACACAAACACTAGCTACCTGAACGACACGGAACGGAGAATTTCTGCAGTGGCAGAACTACTGGTGGGAAGCATTCGATTCCCAAGAGTGCAGATGAACACACTCAAGGTCCGAAAAGTGAGGTACGCCCCACTTCGGTAAATATATGATAATATGATGAAGTGCTGGGTACGTAGCGCCTTTTTTTAAATATAGGATGCGATTATCACACGCTGAAGGCAAGATTAAATACCGCCCAGGCTGCAGGAAAGTACCACGCGCGACGAGAATTAAATAGAACGATAAGATGAAACAAACGATTGGATTAGATCCGGGAATGCTGACCGGTAGTAGAACATCACATTTTTAATGTGAATCTGGACGAACCTTCTGATTAAACTATAAAAGATAAAAGTGAGTTTATAGGTTTCTGATTTTGAAAGTTTTAGTAAAAACATTCAAGCCCTGAATCTATTAGGACTCGCGCCAAATCCCAATACCAAGTTTTTGACACGATAACCAGGGTAACTAATTCTCTACTTATTCCGTTTCAAATAATTTACAGTAGCTTGAATGAGCAGTGCAGTGAAATTTGTTTATGCAGTATATTTTCACTTATGATTCTGCAAAATCACCTTAAAGCCCCAAAGGCTATGTTCGATGCCAAGGAAATTATTCAGAACCATCAGCTGACCGAGCACATTCGCAACGTAGAGCAGTTTGATAAGCAAATAAAGCATGGTAACATAAGAACCAATCGAATAACCAAAATTAAAGCACAAAAAGCCATTTCGATAGTGAGGCGCATGGAAATCCAAACATTCTTCCACGAACGATGCTAATTTCGAAACTTCTTTCTGTCGTTCTTCATACTTAATTGTTCTCATATTTTTTGCTTCCTTCACTATCGAGTCCATGTCGAGTCCTGCAAAAAATGCGCATGCACTCAATGCCAACCGACGGCTACTGCTAAAGCTTCAGTAATCTTGTACAAAATAAATTTTCATGCGTTTTTGCTCTTCAGCACTACAGCGCTGCTACAGTTAGAAAAACGCATATTGTCGAAGGGTCGTGCGTATATGTGTGTGTGTGTGTGTGTGTGTGTGTGTGTGTGTGTTCGGAAGCGAGTGAACTTTGTCACCCAGTTTCAACTCAACAATCAGGAATGCTGGAAGACTAAAATTTTGGACGTATATTCCCATCCCAGCGTCACCCTACCGTTTTAAGAATTTCTCTCACACACTCCTAGATCTCGCATACGGACCCTCGAAGAAAATGTGAAGATTTCTTTGGCGGGAGACGATTTCGTGATCCAGACAAGACAGAAGGCTGAAACTTTGCTAGGATAGCTGAAACTTTGCAAAGATTCTCTGTGCATATATGAGTTAAAGATTTCAAATTCAGCTATTGCGCATCTTGTGTCGCACGTATGGTCAAGTAAAATAAAAGTTCACACTTGACATTGTGCCAACTCTAAAATAATTGGCCAACGCACGGGCTGCCCGTGCGAAGATGCGTTTTTTGCATAGCTCCCCGCAGACTTTTGTCGCTAACGGCACCGGTTTTTCTGGCAGATGCTTCTAGCTAAAAGAATTTCAGACTGGCTGCCAGGACTGTCAGGAAACATCCCTTCAAAATCCCAGTCTTATAGCTTCTCACTTTTCCGAGTTAGCAACTTACCCGGAAGAAACTTCCAAGGACCCGTACGTAGATACCACGCTTGCCCGCGGGCAGGGTTTGAACTCGTTAATATCTACTTGGACGGGGGACACTGCCCTAAGATTTCAACGCTCTAACTTCTCAAATCCCCAAATTATGAAATTAACCAAAAAAAGATTTTGGCGGGCCCGTGCGAGGGTACCACACTTACCTGGTGCGTGGGTTTGAATGCATTAATACCAAGTTGGACGAGGAACACTCCTCTAAGATTTCAGCGTTCTAGCTTCTCAGATCCCCGAGTTATGAACTTACCCCAAAAAAACTTTGGCGAGCCCGTACGCGGGTACCACGCGGGTGTTGGCGCCCGTTTTGGAGATTGGGGGCGGCACGTGCCCGTAGATTAATTTCCCGAAATTTCAGCCCCGCAGCTTTTATAGGTCTTGAGATGAAATTGCGTGACAGACGCACACACAGACAACCCCTCGTCAGTATGCGTTTTCTGAATTGCATAGCTGCAAAAAACGTATAACTAGCTGGAAAACAGCTGCTGAAATTTTGTCAGAATATTTATTGTCCGTACTGAAAATCGTATACCTAAATTGAGTTTCGATCTGTACTTGCGTTACGACTTGGGGGAATTCAAACTTATTTGTAGCGAAGTGGCTATTTCTTTTACCGAAGTTGCAACGATGAAGCTCTGCAGTGATATTCTATATTCACGTGCGGCCTTAATTCAGCTTGGAGGTGAAATTCCGTGAACGCGGACATAACAGATATTTAATTTCATCACAAACTCAAAAGAGGGTGCATTTTGTAGATTTCATAATCCTCTTCCGATTTCCTTCAGATTTGCACTTTTTCAATGAACGAGCATTCACTGCAAAGACGACCGGACTTTATGCAAACCCAGGCTGGAACGCACTAGGCTCTCCGGTGCGATCATGTGTTTTTGCACTAAACTCGCAGATCGCTATTAGCAGGAATGTCTCTACGCTGTAGCCTAACACTTGGGCTCATATTAGCCGTGTTTTGATCCTTTTCGGCATGTAGGAGGAAGGGCGTCAGTTGGGATGAAGGTGGTGCATTATGGAGCAGCATGGACATACAGGTGCATGGTTACCGGTTTTTTGCGTGAAGTACGGTCGTTTTTTCTGTAAATGCCTTGCTTTGTGGAAAAATGACAAATGCAAATTTTTTGAAAAAATGCAAATTTCCAGTTCACTAAAAAGTCGAAGTATTGCTCGAGCGGTCGCTTGTCAAAAAAAACCATGTATGCATATTAACTAATTTTCATTTACATATACAATTGTGATCCGGGTCCGAGTTGCTAACGATTTTTGAGTTGAGCGTCTGATTGAGGCTGTGATTGGAGTGCTCGACAGCTGAGTTTAAAATCTTTAGCTCACACGTGCGTAGAGAATATCCCTGCGAAGTTTCAGCTTTATACCTTGTCTGGTTGGCGAAATCGTTTCTCGCCAAAACATTTTTTTGGGGGGGGGGGCGTACGCGAGGTCTACGCGCGTATGGGGGAGCATCTTGAAATGGGAGGATGACACACGGGGTAGGAACATATACCCAAAGTTTCAGCCTTCCATCTTTCCTGGTTGCTGAGATGAAAGTGGGTGACAAAGCACACACACACACACACGCAGACGCACACACACACGTGCACACACACACACACACAGCCTCTCAACAATATGCGTTTTTGCTGGCTGTAGCGCGATAGCGCTGCTATAGCGCTGCACAGCAAAAAGCATAAAAACCGTTAATCATGCATGCTGGATGTTCACGCGGCCCATAATGCAAGACCTTCATCTCAACCGTCGCCCTTCCCCCTGCATGCGGGAAGAAGTCAAAACACAGCCAATATGACTTCATGCGTTCAAAAACCATTCCTGCTATTAACAATCTGCAAGTTCAGTGCAAAAACGCATGGTCGCACCCGGAAAGCTGGTGCGTTGCAGTCTGGGTTATAATTTTTAAGACGTTCAAAATAATCAGCGTGGAAATATGCCCACTGGAATACATTTTTTCTCGCAGTCGTGATTTCCCGTACCATTCATTCGGCGAAGCATCTGATTTTTGTATGGTTTTGTTCGGTATTACGAGAAAATTGGTGATACTGCTTGGTGCATACTCATTTCCTGGCCAAGATTCAATTTTCAAGATCTTCCCAGTTAGCGAGTTCTCTCTGCATTCTGGCCGCAAGCATACAGCCACTCTGCATTAACTCCGTTTTCTTTCGACTGATTTTCGGGCCCGCTTCCTTACTTCGTGCGTCGAGCTCCTGTCATGTACCGCTTATTTTGCAAGCACTGTTTGTAGCCAAATTTGTCAACTAGGAAGCGCAAACGGTTTAACAATTTGTCATTAACATTTAAGCTAGCTTTAGTACGGTTTTTGAAAGAACTTTCTGAGACAAGCTGCTGAAGGCTTAAGAGATAAGGCATGAATTTTTTGGTATGCGAACCAGAACAGCACGAAGCGTTATGCTGCTCTAATAACCTCTACTGCTTCTTCAGTGATCCGCTACAGTTCAAACTGATCCCCTCCTCCACAGGAATGTGTAGCATAGCATTTAGTTCGGCGCTATCAGATGTTTTTTCTAAGCGGCAAAAAATAAAGCTAATATTTCGATGCGCTCTAGCAGTAAAGAACGAAAATGCTGAGCACTGTGCTGAGATTATCTCAAAATCCAGCTTCTTCCCTCCGCTGCAGTTCACTGAGGCATCTTCTGGATCGCTTCATAATAGAACTCAGAAGCAGGATAAATAGAAATTTTCTCATTTTTCTCGCCTTCTTGTAAAACAAAGCGATTTTCAGTTTTTTCCAACTGCTTAGTACCATTTCCGGTATGTATTAAGCGAGAATGCAGATGTTATCCATGTTTCATATTCTCTGGCATTGATAAGCCCGAAGCTGACGCCGCTAGAAAACTGAGTCTTTCACAACTCATTTGAAATACTGCATGTGTGATGAGTATAGAAAGAGCTTTGGTGCACGTTAGTGGTGTGAATCTAAAGTGCGGTAATGTTGATGCGCAACGAAAACAGATTCACGCAGATCCCAAACATTTACTCTCTGTCTGGTAGGTCCAGGTTTCGATGTCAACGTCCGTTGCAGATTACAGCATACAATTCCCTCCTGAACTTCTTCAAATTTCTCATTCTTTGAGCCGCCGACCCGAAAGCTATAAAGTCTCCTCCACTTTTGTCCAACACATTTGCAGAACAAAAAGCATTTTATGTTTCGACTTTATGCATTTTCGTGTTTCTTCTTCTTGCTCACAGCACTTCCGTATTTATCGAGATGTTGTGATCGGGTGCACTTAGATTGTCCTGCACACTAGAAAGCTCAACAGCGAGAAATACATATTCCCGGCCGACTTCCGCCATCGTGGCCCTAATAATTCCTTCGACAGCAGCTTCATCTCTCCCTGCCCGTCTTGCCCAGTTTTTTACACCGACTAATTTCTTCCTTCAGCTTCTGAAAGAACAGGCACTCTCACTCGCAACTTTGCAACAACTAACAAAATCTACTTCGCGCTCTCCAACTGCTGCATGGAGGATTATAAGCGTCCACATAAAGTATAGATGGGGAAAGCTCACAGCACTTCTCTCTGAGAGAAAAACAAAAAAAAACAAACCACTTTGTTTTTTAAGAGTCTTCCAGATCCAAGATGGCGTAAAAAACATTAGCGCTTGCAGCACTAAAAAAATTGGCACCCACTGATAATAACCAATTTCGGATTTATGTCGATCACTGACGTCTTCTGGCACGGGTTCATCGAAGTTCACCCAGTAGGTATTCTAATAAAAAGCCGATATGAATGATACTTTTGAATGATACTTATTAATTATAAATCCTTTTTTAAAGTCGGTTGGTAGTATGGTCAGGCTGTTTGCCGTTTTTGCTCATGCAGCTTTTACAAATTTAAAAGAAAAAAACTTGTAAAAGCTGCATGAGCAAGAACGGTATTGCCTGATTACACTACCACCGACTTCTTTTCATCTGCTGTTAGTAATTTTTTGTTATAAGGCATTTGAGAACGAGAAATAAAAAGAAGTCACTGATTAATACAAACGTGTTGAAGAAAACATATACTTAAGATATCCTACTTCTTCCCTTAATTCCTCGTCTCCTACAGTCTCAATTCAATCTTTTTTTCAAGCCCGCTCTTTACAGCTTTGAAAAATCTCAACTGCAACATGAACTGCATTCACTAAGAGTTAGGTCAAGTTTTGAAAGCTAGAGA